CCCTACATCTGCACAAAGGTCTGATTCTGCCCCTCAGCCTTTCCCCACTGGGCTACTCTGAGGGCACTGCAGGAAACTCATCTGTCATCACAACAAAAATCAGCCCCATTCATTCCCTCACTGGGAAGCTCCCTCCCAGGCCACTCAGCCAGCGAATGCTTTTCTTTCTTCCTTCCTCTTCAGCCTCCCAGTCTCCTCCTCCTTCCTCTGAACCTCTCATTGTCACGTATCAAAATTATTGCTGCAGAACTGACTGCTGCCCTCAGTTAAAGAAAAAAGAAAACACCTCTTTTGTCTTACAGTTAACCTCACAGGCTGTCTTGTAGTAGCTCTAGTTTTCTCTATAAAGATGTAGTAGTACTAATCTTGCCTTAGAGAACACACATTCCCTTAGTCTGGATTCTAGGCCATCACAGACAGCATTTCTAAGACCTCTATTCTCATACACTGTCCATTTCCGATCTTACTTGAAAGTACCTCCTTCTTTTTTTGGCTGTGTTGTTCAATACCTCTCTCTATGACTGAGTTTTGAGCTTTCTGAGAGGCTTCCTTGAAGGAATCACAGCGCCTGCAGATCAAGGTCAGAATCCTGTATAGCCCAAGGGCTTGCGGATATGCTTGTGAAAAGCAGTTCTGGATGGCTTGGACAGAACTTAGGTTTTATGTATTCATTTTGCAAGCATTACAGAAGCCCTTTCCTATATCGTAGGGGATGTGGAGACGAATAAGAAGCCTCTGGTCTGGGGCAGGAAACACCTTAATATGTAATGCTCCTATGAGATAGCACAGTAACAGAGGTATGAAGAGAGCACTGTGGAAAGTCAGAAGAGAATGTATTTAAGAGTCTGAAAGGATCAAGGGCTGTTCCCCACACATGCTGATTACTGCGCCAGGTAGTGAAGGATGAAGAAAAATTGGTCAAGGGGTGATGGTCGTGCTAGCATGGGTGGAAAACAAAGCTTTCAAGATGGGAGGAAAAGCAGGACAGGTGGAGACAGAAGGGAGGAGTCCAAGGGGTTGATAGAAAAGAGAGAAACAAAAGTGAAGATGGACAGGACAAGAGTGGAAAGAGGAATTAGCAATTGTCTCTACTACTGTGGAACTGCACCCATGCTTCGAAGGCTCACTCCCAAGGCAAATATCATTATGACTATATCCACTTCACCAAAAAATGTTGATGCCTCAGGAAACAAAGTGATGTAAAACATTCACAACATGCCACTAAAAACATAAGGCAAATATAAAAGAAGGAAAAAAAAGACTCAGGCATTGAAAAAATTTGGAAGAAAGTACATTGAAATGATATTAGCTATAATCTATTACCTATGGGTGGTAGGATTATGAATGATTTTAATTTTCTTACTTACCTGGATTTTCTATACTACAGTGAGCATGAACACTCATATATAAATGAATGGGCTACTGATTGATCTTTAATATAAACACATTGTAATAAAAGGGTCCTTAAAGTTTAAGTTCATAATAATAGAATCTGATCCATATGTGGAAAAGTGAGGGTAAAAAAATTAAGACTATGTCATTCAGTGGGCGAGTTTTGTAGAAATAATTTGAGGCAGTCTCACTTATATGTATGTAAATATTGCTGCTACCACCATCCTTTCTCAACCCACAAGAGCAGAGATGAAACTATAGCCATCTCAGTATTCCCTGCCCCTAGTGTAATACCTGGCACAAGCAGGTATGCACGTCTAATAAATGTTTAATGAAAGAAACCTAGGATTTCTGACCTCAAAACCAGGATTGCACTGCAAGAGTAAGGTTCATACTTTAGCATGCATCAGAATTATCTGGAAGGCTTGTTAAAAATACAGAATGCTAGGCCTCACCCCCAGAACTTCTAATTCAATAGGTCTGGGGTAGGCCTGAAAATCTACATTTCTAACAGGTTTCCAGGTGGTACTAATGCTGCTGATCTGGAACCACACGTGAGAACCACCGCACCGTAACATACTATTTTCAGGTGCAAAGATCGCAAGGGCTGCCTGCCGCCACACATACCTGTCATGACCATGACCTGAAAGAATGCTCCGAGATACTATGAACAAGAGTCTAAGCTAAAATATTTGGCAGAGAGCTAAAATGATCAGGAATGTTTTAAATTCAGTTCAACGGCTTATTAATTACATTTTCGTAATTAAGACATATTGCTACTGTTGGGTATCTTCAGAGATCATGAAGTTTGGTTACAAGAGTTCATATTAGCATACCGGAAATGAAAAATAGTATCATATACAGGAATGCACCGCATAAAATGACGGACCACACATACAATGGCAATCCCATAAGAGTATAATGAAGCTGAAAAATTCCTTCGGCCTAGTAACATCATAATGCCATAGCACAATGCATTACTCATGTGTTTGTGCTGATGGTATAAAACAAACCTACTGCACTGCCAGTCATATAAAAGTATAGCACATACAATTATGTACAGGACATAATAAAACGACTGTTACTGGTTTATGTATTTACTATACTATACTTTTTATCATTATTTTAGAGTGCACTCTTTCTACTTAGAAAAAAAAGTGCTGTAAATCAGTGTGCCGTTATGCTGGCAGCAGCCTCATACAGCTCCTGTTTTACCATCTCATTTTTCATGTGCTTGATTTAATCTCATGTTGTTTTATAAATGTAATGTAGCCTAAGTGTACAGTGCTTACGAAGTCTACAGTAGTGCACAGTAATGTCCCAGGCTTTCATGTTCATTCACCACTCACTGACTCACCCAGAGCAACTTCCAGTCCTGAAAGCTTCATTCATGGGAAGTGCCCTATACAGGTGTGCCATATTTTACCTTTTATACTGTATTTTTACTGTACCTTTCTTATGTTTAAATGTTTACAAACACTAATACCACTATGTAATAACTGCCTACAGTATTCAATACAGTAACATTCTATAAAAGCCTGTAGCCTAGGAGCAATAGGTTATACCATATAGCCTGGGTGTGTAGTAGGCTATACTATCTAGGTCTGTATAAGTATACCCTATGATGTTCACATAAGGATGAAATCACCTAACAACTCATTTCTCAATGCATCCCTGTCATTTAGCGATGCATACCGTATAGTTGGATAACAAAATGTGTGGTGCTGTTAAGTTCTATGGGAATTAGAAAGGGAGAGATGAATGTCACCTAGACTAGCAAGGAAATAGCGTTATAGAAAATCTGTGTTTAGGACATTGAAGGATGGTATTTAGGATAATTATTGCTGTATAACAAACCATCCCAAAACTTAGTGGCGTAAAACTACTATTGTTATCTCGTGGTTCTACAGGCTGACTCAGCTGGTTGGTTCTGCTTGGGACCTGCCATGCAGCTACAGTCAGAGAGCAGCTGGTACTGGGGTCACTGGAGTAAAGGCTTGACTGGGCTGGCTGTCTTAAGACGGCTTCTTCACTCACAGGTTTGGTGCCTCATGCTCCTCCATGTGGCTTCTCTCTCCAGAAGAGTTGCCTGGATTCATCAATGTAAGGTCAAGGCTTCAAGATGTAGGAAGCAGAAAATGCCAGTCCTTTTAATCAGTAGGCCCAGAAGTGGCAGTGTCATTTCTATCAGATTCTACTGGTGAAATTAGTAACAGGCCAGCCTAGATTCAAGGGGGCAGAGGAACAGACTCCATCTCTCAGTGAGGGAGTGGCATATGTATACAAGAGAGAAATTGATGGCAGCTATCTTTGGGGACAAGCTACCACAGGTGGGCAGGTAGAGAAAACAACCCACAGAATGAAGATGCAAGAACCAGAAGAGGCCCAAGAAGAGATCTAAAGGCTTGTATACAAAGAAAATCAGAGCACAGGTGACCTGCAACAACACAGATTTGAACTGCACAGGTCCACTTACACATGGATGTTTGCAACTGACCTGCATAGTTCAAACCAGCTTTGTTCAAGGATCAACTATACTTAAAACTGAAACAAAGAGTCAGGGTGTGATCTGATAAACAATGAGGAATCACTGTGAGTTCTTAGTTCACAGTGCTTGCACTTACCACACCCCCACATGAGTTGTTTGCTTCTGGGCATCTGGGCTAAGTGGTGTACATACAAACATACAGAAGACAGGCTGGGCCAGCCACCACAGATCAGAATTTAGTAAGAGACACAGACAAGTGAATAAATAGGTAATCACAGTTCAGTATGATGACTGCTAACAGAGCAGGAAGTGTAGGGTGTTATAGGAGCATCTCACTCAGATAAGGAAGCAAGAGCAAGAGGGAGAGGTGGCTGCCAGTGTTGTTTGAAAAAGATCCCTCTAGCAAAAGTTCATGGGCAAGATTGGAGAAAGGAAAGACAGAAGCCAAGAAGACCAGTTAGAGGGTTGTAGTAATAAAGGTGATTAGACATTTTATATCTCCTCCTCCATCTCTAATGAATTATGTAGCCATGCCAGGGAATATACCTAGATCATGATGGGGCGTTAAAGTTGACATGTCATCCATTTTAAAGATTTGGTTCTGCTCAATATATAAAGTCATCTGATAAAACTTGTAAAATGATAACAAATGATTGAAATGATGCCAAGGCATTATATGGCATATGTGGGAGATCACATTGGAGGCAGTGGAATGGAGTGTTCTTTCCCCATGCCCCAGAAGCACCTCCCTGACTCCAAAGGAAGAACATATTGTACTCTTTGGAAGCCCACGGAGTCACTGACTAACCTTTGGGGAGGAATTTTGATTTTGTTCTTTTCTAAATTAGATAAGCTCATGTCTTCGGGGCAAGACCTGCCGTAAGCTGCTTCTATGCTGCACCAAGGAAAAGGCAATTGTTTATCATACCCGAGAGATCACTCTCCACCAGAAAGCAGGCTCCACTGGTCCTGCCACTTGCTTGCTGCCCACCACCACTACCTATACCTGGGGCATTGCCAAATACACAGTGGAGGCTCAATGAATATTTGAATAGCTTAAAGTGTGTATCAAATTTTGTATGGATCACAGATGGCGATGGGGCTAGGTATACCCAGAGTACTTAACGCTGTATCCCAAACTCTGCCAAGACCTTTAAATGTGCAGTTAGTTAACTATTTAAAGAAATGGAGAAGCTTCCACCCTACTACTAAGAGCACAGGAATAATTACACTCAGCCCTGGTGTACAGTACATTACAATAACTTTGCTAAGGAAAACAGTGAGTTAACAAGATGAGGTGGCATCTCTCTTGTCTGTTTTCAATCCAGTTTTCAGGCACCTCTTTTCCTATCTATTCCTTTTGTTCTTTGCTAGCTTTCAGTCAAGATTCTTCCTCAGTGTGGAAGGAATTAGTAGGAATGTTCATTTTCTTCTCACTAGCTGGGCCATCATTGCTAGCTCCTGTCTGAAGAGGAAAAGTGGGGAGAAGACAACTGGGAAGATGGAAAAAGAGAAAGATGAGAAGAAAGGGGATCGCAGCAAGCAAAAAAGGAAAAGAGAAGTGGAGGTGACATGAGGACTGAAGCAATGGGGGAAGAATGCTCATAGTCTCAGGCCAGGCACTGGATAAATATTAAGATAGGAAGTAAATAATGACCAAAGTAATTAGCAGTCAGCAAGCCCACCAGGCAGGCCCTTTACTGTTGCTTTCCTCCACTTCCTCTTGCTTTGTCATTTCACTGATAATAGCACCTCTCCTGGAAAGAGATGAAATTTGTTTCATCAATTTTAGATAGTTCATAGTTAAATTCTGTATTAGTTTTCTATTGCTGCTGTAACAAATTACCACAAACTTAATTGTTTAAAACAATATAAATTAATTACCTTATAGTTCTGGAGGTCAAAAGTCCAAAAAAGGTCATACTGGGCTAAAATCAAGGTGTCAAGAGGGTTTTCTGAAGGTTCTAGGTGAAGATGTGTTTGCCTTTTCCGGCTCTCAGAGATGACTTGCATGTTTGGGCTCATGGCCCCCTTCCTTCTGAAGTATGTTTCTCTGACTCTGGCTTTTCTGCCTCCTTATTCCACTGTGACTAAATTGGGCTCACTGGATAATCTAGGATAATCTACCTAATTTAAAGTCAGTTGATTAGCAACCTTACTCCATCTGCATTTAATTCCATGTAGCCTAACATATTCATAGGTTCTGGGGATTAGGATGTGGAAATCATTGAGGGGGAGGACCATAAATACTGTATAACCTTCCTGAAACTACACTGTTTCAAATTTTCCCTAGTATTCTTAAAAAACAAGAACTCTGCATGTCAGTTATTTGTTTTTTCTTCTACAGGTTTGTTGGAAACGAAAGTAACAATCCTAATAACCATCTCTCATTTAAAGAAGGGAAGACTTATTGCTTTGGCTAAAACAGTACTTGTCACAATAGTAATAGGACTTAGGCAAAGACAGAGCCCCTCTTGCAGGAGCTCCTCATACTATCAGCAAGTCACCTGGCCCCACCCTCCTCCTACCAATGCTGTACAGCTCTCAGTGGTCTTGCCTCTTTGCCCTGAAAGGCAGTGGAGAGGGTCTGGCACTCTAATGAAGGGGCAATATACAAATCCACAGTCCCAGGGGACCCAATTATTTGGGTCAGTTTTATAATTTCTTTAGAACTAGAAACTTGTCATGCAAAATGACTCCTGGCTATTTATTTGTTAATCCAAGTAAAGTAATACAATTGCTATAGAAATTTGTAGCAAGCAAGGAGGGGTTTTCTAGTCTCAGATAGGTTAGACTTCAATCAACAAGAAAAACATCGGATTGGGTATTGTTTTTGACAATGTTGGTAGATATCACAATTAGGAAGGAGAGAAAGAGTTAAAATTACCAAGGAATAATTTTTAAAGAAAATAATACATTTCTGCTTTTTATCATTTTCTGAGTCATTTCCTGAACATTTCTTTAAAATGTCAATGTGGCCATTTCCCAGTGCCCATTTATTGGGCACTTTAGGTATATTATCTGTGATCCTTCTAATAATCTTTCATGGTAGGTATTACAAACAAGGAAATTGAGGACAAATGAGGTTAAGAAATTCACCTGAGGTCACGCAGCTATTCAATAGCAGAAAGAGGAAATTACACTCTGGTTACCTGACTCCTGCCCAGAATTACTCTCGCTGCTGGATCACCTAATGCCTACAAGGTAGGTGGCAGCAATGGAAACATGTAGGAGCTCCACTGCCCAGGCCCCAAAGTCACCCAGTCTGGCTTATGCCTCCTCAGTCGGCTAATCCCTAACCAGCTCTGACTTCCCCAATTTCCTGATTTGTGACCTGCCTAGAGTCCCGTGATGAAACGGAATATAACTGTGTGTCCACCCCTTGTTTCTAATGCCTCATCACTTCACCACAAAGACAAGCTATACATTATACAGGAAGAAATGAAAAAATTAGGCAAACAAGAGGGACAAAATAAAGAAACTGAGCAAAGAAATTTGAAAAAGACAAAAATCAGGAAGGAGTAGCTCAATTTTGTAGAACATGAAAAAGTCACACATACTGTTTGCCACTGAAGGACTAGAGTGCACTGCTGTACAAAACTTGAAAATTCTGGTTTTCTACTATTTGGTGTCTTTAGACTGCATCCTCAGAGAAGATGTATCTTGGAACTCAAATTCAATATTTGACCAAAGCGAATGATTAAAAATGTTAATTAAAAACAAAGCCAAAACCAATAACAGCCTAAATATTAGGAAAAATTCCTTTCGTGAATTAAATTCACTTAGTAATACATTCATTCTTAAAATTAGACAGTTTCTTTTTAACTAAGGCTTTGTAAGTTTTTAGTTTATGGAAAGATGCTACTATTGATGAAACTAAATTTTCCTGAGAACTCAGTATTATTTTTAAATCTAAGAATGTATATGCATTGCAGTAAGAGACATGATCTAACATTATGCAAAACCTTCCCTAAGGTGTGGCAAATCGGCGTGTTCCCCAGGTCCTCCTACGCAATGCATGACACTAAACTGTTACTGGGCCCTGTCCTTCAGAATAAGTGGTCTCTCTAATTTAGCTTATCCTCATAAAAGCTATTAAATTGGAGGAGTCACATAGTGATACTCAATAATACTGGCTAAATAAAGAAAGGTGTATTATGTACAGCTGACCTTTGAACAATGTGCGGGTTAGGGGCACTATGTCTCTGTGAAGTCAACAATCCACATATAACTTTAGACTCCCCCAAAACTTAACTACAAATAGCCTACTGTTGACTGGAAACCTCATAACATAAGCAGTCAATTAACACATATTTTGTTATTTACTGTATTCTTACAATAAAGTACGCTACAGAAAATTTGTCATTAAAAAAACATGAGAAAATACTTACAGTATTTATTGAAAAACAACTCATGCATAAGAGGATCCATACAGTTCAAACCAATGTTGTTCAAGGGTCAACTGTACACATGTTCACTGACTCACATTAGCGCATGACTCACATTTATTTTCCAAGGCAAAACAATTCAGGTAAAACTTCCCTTCTCTTTTCCAGTCCCCCTTCCTTCAAAACCCACTTTCTTTTAGGTTTTCCTCTTTGACATTGCTATTAACATTATAGTTTAATTAAATTAGAATCCTATACAAAATGCTGGGGAAGAGGCAATGAGATACATTTGACCCAGCCCCCAGGGCTTATGGGCCACGTTATGATGGCCCATAATGTGGTAAGGAGCCAGGATAGATTTTAGCACCGTTTTCTACACTATATTGTGTCCTTTAACAATGGTAACTCTCCATTAGTAAGGGATATGAATATCACGACTTGAGCATCAAGTTAAGGGTCTTTACCTAAAATAGATTCAAGTGGCCTACAAAAGGGCTTGAAATTTCTGCTTACTTCGTAGGGTAAATACTGAAAGCTGCTATTGCTGTCATCCAAGTAAAATTTTTGTGTTAACTCTTTCGCATTATTTATATTAACTATCTAGTTGCTGTTTTTTTGTTTTTTTAAGTAAAGTAGGCAAGTTCAGAGTTTAGATGATAATAAAAAGCCAGAAAATGTCTTCAGCATATAAAGAGGCCTGGGGTGGGGGTGGGGGTGGCATGAAGGAAGAGGGTTGTAGGGGTAGAAAGTCCTGGTGAACTAGAAGTCGACATGAAGGCACTGGATTCCATAAGTAAAGATGATGACAAAGGAAACCAACATTTCAAAAAACAATTACACACCAGGCAGGCCCTGTGCTAGGTACTTAGCATATACCAACATATGAAATTCAAGAGGATGGAGAATTGTTGTGCTTCTTTACAGTCATCCAAGCTACATTCATATATATATTTTTTGTTTTACTATGTGATTTAAAGTTTAAAAAAAAATAAATAAGGAAGAAAAGCAATGAGAAAAGTACTTCTTCCTAGAAGAAAAGTACCATCTTCTTGGTCTAAAAATCTGTGAATTATAGACAAATCATCTGTCTCACACCAAATACATATGGTGAGGTAGGCATAATATAACCATTATAAACATTATCGCTCAAAAAGAGAAAGTAAAAGGCATTCTCTGGTCCATTGCAAATCCAGCTGGGCATATATTGCCTTTTCCTTGATTACTTCTACTACCGGCAGTGATTCTCCTCAGCTCTTGGCTCCATCCTCTGAGTTATCCTTCCTATTCTATAAAATATAGTCCATATTTTAAGTTCAGTAGTTTGATGAGCCTACTTCCTGCCTAGGAAGTTCCAGGATCTAAAACCTTTTCATTTTGAAGCCATCTCTGTTCCTTACAGTCCAAGCGGCAATATTTTTAGAAGTATAATTCTTTTAAAAGCTTTGTAAGTTTACTATGAACCTTACTGATCTTCTTGGGGTTTACTTCATTAGGCAAAATCCACGTCGACAAATGTTCTCTACCAGGGGCTCCCTGGAAAGCTGCTGTGGATCAATGTCCTAATATTCTTAGAATGCCTACTGTCTAAAGCTTTTGTCTTTTTGCAAGGATTCAGAAGGAATCACCTTAAGTTCTTCTGGGGTCTTAATAAAGACTTTTACAATCATATCTTTAGCTTCATCTTTACTCTGAGTTGTTTTTATAACAGGGCTGTGAATCTGACTTTTGTCCTAAGACCTTTTTTGAGTTTGGGAATATTTGGCTAGGAAAGACTAATCACCAGAAAAAGGTTTTATTTTCTAACCCAGAAATTCCTGACTCCTGTATATTTCCTCTAAATCTTGCCTGAACACTGAGTGATTTCTTTTAAACCTCACCATTATCTGTATTTTATGATATACAACTAAGAGAAACCAGGAAGCTTTTAACCTTTAACCTGAAAACTCATCAGGCCAATCCATCAGTTCATTAGATATATTTTCTATTTCTACATTATCACAGGCAACAGTTTTTTATTAACAAGGGTTTTTCCTCCCATGTTAATAATTTTTCCTTCACTTTTCCTTTAATCCCTACTGTTAACCTCAAGAGCCATTGGACTTCTGCTACTAATCTTTTCAAGACCCTTCCAAGTTATACTTATAGCTCAGTTCCAAAGTCACTGTCATATGTTTTAGGTTTTGTTATTGTAATCCTCAATTTCCAGGTCCCCAAATCAGTTGTGGTTATCTATTGCTAACTAATCACCTCAAAACTTTAATTTAAAAAATCCACAACTTTATTATCCTCTCTCATGGTTCTGGGGCTTGACTAAGCTTAACTAGATGATTCTTGCATGGGGTGTCTCATGAGGCTGCAGCCAGATGGTAGCTGGTGCTGAAATCATCTGAAGTCTTGCTCATTCATCTGTATGGCACCTGATCTGGGAACACTTAAATAGCTGGGGGCAGGAACAGCTGGGATTCCTCCAACATCTCTCCCTATCTCTATGTGATCTCCCCATGGCATTTTCAGCATGGAAGCTTCAGGGTAGTTGTACTTACATGGCAGCTCAGAGCTCCAAAAGTATATGTCATAGAGGGAGAGGGGAAGACAGAAGTTCTGTCACCTTTTATGATCCTGTCTAAGAAGTTGCAAAGTGACTTCTGTCACATTCTATATTTGTTGAGTCAGTCACAAATGCTGCTTAGGTTCAAGAAAAAGGAACATAAACTTTTTTTTTTTTCATGAAAAAAGTGTCAAATAACTTGCATATATGTTTTAAACTACCACAGCTGGTAAAAAGGAAAAAAGAAAGGACAGAAAGAAAGGCTTAAGAACTGTTACTGAAACCATGCTATATCCTATGTCCCCAAATGGCTGGCAGTTATAGTCACAAATCTGAGTGATGATAGTCAAAAGCAGGTCTAGGGTCACATACAGTCAAATGTATTAAAGTATTCCAACTTTTTATTCTCCAAGAAAGATCTATTTCTTTCTTCAATGAGAGGAAAGAGGAAAGGAAGGGAGGTTAGGGGAGAAGATGAGAGAGAAAGAGAGGAGAGAGAAGAAAAAGAAGCAAGAGAGAAAAGGGAAGGATAACACCAAATGTTTCATCAGGACAAGAAAGCCTTGTTCTAAAGCAGGGGTCAGCAAACTATGGCCTGCAGGCAAAATGTAGCCTATGGCCTATTTTAGTATGGCCTATGAGCGGAAAATAATTTTATGTTTGTAAAGAGGAAGAAGGAGAAGCAGCAGCATATGCAATAGAGGCCATATGTGGCCCGCAAAGCCTTAAAATATTTACTATCTGGCCCTTTATAGAAAACGTTGGCCCTATTTTAAAGCACATTCGAATGTGTTTGCAGATGGTTACCACAGACAGAACAGCAAACATACCTCTAGGATGCTTTTACTATATAGATTTTCCTTACAAAATAGATACCAAAATAAAAGAGGATTTTGTCCTATCAAGTATCCCTTTTCTATTATACAGTCAATCTCTAATCTCCGTATTTCTTCTCGTTTTTCCTCTATCTGCCTACCAACATTCTCATCTCACAATGAACAATCCTTCTTCCTCTACCACCTCCCTCAAGTTTTAAATGTTCAATTTTCTTTGGCCCTCGTATAACTTCTCTCCTCAAAAGCCGTAATTGTTTCTTATTCCTAAAGAAAAGTCATAAAGGCAACCTAATGAATTAGAGAAAATAACTGCCAATCACATATCCAGTAAGGGGTAATATCCAACATATATAAAGAACTCATACAACTCAATAGCAAAAAAAAAAAGCAATTCAATTTAAAAATGAGCAGAGGATCCATAGATATCTTTTCAAAGAAAACATACAGATGACCAGCTACATGAAAAGGTGCTCAACATCACTAATCATAGGGGAAGTGCAAATCAAAACCATAATGGGATACCACCTCACATCTGTTAGAAAGACTAATTACAAAAAAACAAAAAGTAAGTGTTGGTGAGGGTGTGAAGAAAAGGGAACCCTCATGCACCTTTGGTGGAAATGTAAATTGGTGCAGTATGGAGGTTCCTCAAGAAAGTAAAAATAGAACTACCATATGATCCAGCAAACCCACTTATAGGCATTTACCTAAAGGAAATGAAAACACTAACTCATAAAGATGTGTACCCCCATGTTTAATGTAGCATTATTTACAACAGCCAAGACGTGGAAGCAACCTAAGTGGCTATCAATGGATGAAGAAAATGTCACACACACACACACACACACACACACACACACACACACACACACGGGTGCACACCCATGCACATACAATATTATTCAGCCATAAAAAAGAACAAACTCTTGACCATTTGCTACAACATGGATGGAACCTAAGGAAATTATGCTAAGTGAAATAAGTCAGATAAAGACAAATACCTATGATCTCACTTATATGTGGAATCTAAAAAACAAAAATAAAAATGAATTTATAGATACAGAGAACAGATTGGTGGCTGCCAGTGGCAAGGGGTGGGGGTTGGCCAAAATGAGTGAAGGTGGTCAGAAGGTACAGATTTCCAGTTATAAAATAAGTCATGGGATGTAATATACAGCATGGTGACTAAAGTTGATATTACTGTATCATATATTTGAGTTGCTAAGAGAGTAGATCCTAAAAGTTATCACGAGAAAAAAATTTATAACAATGTGTGGTTATGGATGGTAACTAGACTTAACATGGTGATCATTTTGCAATATGTACATATACCAAATCATTATATTGTACACCTGAGACTAATGTCATGTCAATTATAACTCAATAAAAAAAGTAAAAACTCCTTACTCTTGCGGGTCACTCATGATCTAGACCATAACCATATTTCCAGCCTGTCTATCCCACTGTCCATGCTCCTGACCCCAGATTCCTATATAACACCCATATACGCTTCTTGATAGTCCATGCCTTTTCATGTATCCATAACTTTTCTCATGCTGTTCTTATATCCAGAAATATCTATTTATTCACTCTTGTTATAGTGAAAACATGTTTATTCTTGTCTTTTGTAACGATCCCGTTCATGATGGAAATTAATTGCTCAGTGTTCCGCATCCCCATAGCATGTTCCTGTATATAGATCTACATGGCACTTGTTTTAGTTTTCAATTATTTATATACATGTTTATTTCCTCACATAGAAAAGCACTTTTTCATTTTGATACTTTATAAACACACAAATTAACAATTGTTTTAAAAAAAATTGAGTGAATGATCTCAGATCCTTTTTCATTGTTCCTGAAAACCAACCTTTTCTCCATGTTTGTCCAGTGGTGGAGCTCTGGTGTTCAAGTTAATCTCTTCTTGTTCTTGCTCTTTTCTATTCCTAGAGCTCCTAAATTCTAGAAGAAATCAGTCCATATTCTTTCTAGGAATTTTACAGTCCCAGTTTCATTAAATCATTTTCTTAGCACTTCAAAACTCCATCTACTCTCCAACATGACTTTCTACTTAGCCTAGCTCAACTGTATGCATTTCATCATCTTAACTCCTTCCAACAGGTTTCACAGTGCACAAACCACATATGTACCTATAAGACCACCACCTTACTTTTCTGGCTTACTTCTCCTTACATTAGAAAAATACGTAAGACCTCACATCTGATGACAACTACCTTGATACATCCAATTGACCATGATTTTTGGAGAAGGGGAATATTTTTACCAAAGTCACATAAAGATGAAAATTCTTCTATTAATTTTTTTTTTTTTAAAAAGAGGGACATGATAAAGGAAAACAAGGACAACAGATGAAAACGCCAAGGAGTCATTTTGGAACTTGCATGCTAACTTTTGGGATAATATGTTTTTCTTGGGTGTGTGATTTCCTGAGAGTGGTGGAAGACTTTTTAGCTTTTTGCATTCCTATTTATGGTCTGACTTGACTACTAGAGAATTCCTAACCTTGGAAATGGTAGCTTTAATTCCCTTTAATCCCTAAAACAAAATGGTAATGAAGGAAGAAAATTACCAAGGAAGGGGTTATAACGCAGAATCAAGAAGAGTTTAAGGACTATTTAGTCAAGTCAAGCCTAATGAACTCCACGGGGTTCATGCATAGTCACTAGAAGATACTAAAGGTACTGGTAGTTATAGCATCTATACAATAGTAATTATCCTTAGTAATTCCTCTAAGTATTTCAATAGTATTCCAATAGTAATTCCTCTAAACAACTTAAATCCCAGATTTAAAATAGTAAATACCCATGGATGCATCCTATTAATCTTTGTGTGGTTTTGTATGGGTTCTCACTCTTCCCTTTGGCTCTTTCTTAACCACGGGATCCTTTCTTTCTCTTGATCTGTTTGATTGTTGTTTGTTGTTTTTAGTTTTTATTATGGAACATACCTAACATACACAAAAGTGGAATAGTATAAAGAGCCTCCGTGTACCCATCTCCCAGGCTCAACAAACACCAACACAAGAGCAATTTTCTTTCAGCATACTCCTATCCATATACATGCCCCCTCTATCCCATGAATTATTTTGAATCATGAAGCAAATTCTAGATATCATATCTTTTCATTGATAAATTCTTTAGAATGCATGTCCTAAAAGGTTTAAAAAAAAAAAAAACCAACCATAACAACTATTATTGAAAATTAATAATTCTTTAACTTCAAATATTATATTTAAATTATCCCAGTTGTCTCATATATATACCTTTTGCAGTTGGATTTGATTAAATCAGGGTTCAAACAAGTTCTACACATTGCAATTGGATGCTTGAATCTCTTTAAGCCTATTTCAAGAAAACAAACACACTAACTCTAAAAGATATATGCACCCCCATATTCATTGTAGCATTATTTACAATAGCCAAGATATAGAAACAACCTAAGTGTCTACTGATGGATGAATGGATAAAGAAAATGTGATAAACACACACAATGAAATATTGCCATTTGCGACAACATAGATGGCTTTAAGGGCATTATGCCAAGTGAAATAAGTCAGAGAAAAACAAATACCCTATGATCTAACTTATATGTGCCATTTTAAAAATGAACAAACACCTGAACTCAGATACAGAGAACAGACTGTGGTTGCCAGACAGTAGTGGGGCAGCGGTGGATGGCAGGGGTGTGAAATGAGTAAAAGGGTCAAAAATTACAAACTTCCAGTTATAAAAAAAATAAGTTATGGGAATGTAAGGTACAGCATAGTGAATATAGCTAACACTGTGCTGTATATTTAAAAATTGCTAAGAATCAATCTTAAAAGTTCTTATCACAAAAAATAAAATGTTTTAACTATGTATGATGACAGACGTTAAGTAGAACCATTATGGTGATTTTGCAATATATACAAATATCGAATCATTATGTTGTACAAGTAAAACTAATATGCTATGTCAATTATAGCTCAATTTAAAAATAAAAAGACAAACAGAATGGGTTGAATATACAAGGTGATACCTGAGCTAATGAGATGAAGGGCAGAGAGAAATGAAAGAGTCATAATAGGTGAGTTGTTAATCTGTTAATTAAGAAAAGAGATATGGGAGTAAGGTTGAAAATCTCAAGTTCATTAGATAATGATTTCAGCCCACATCTTAGGTGCTCTCCAGAGAGGTGTCAGTTATGAGTACGAATCAGATGTGGATATCAGTCATCTCTTCATATGGAATATTTGAAGATGCCCCGTAGTTCACAAAACTTTATTTTAAAAAAAGTCTGTTTGGATACTGAGGAACCAAAAAAGAACCATCAGAGGCAAAATAAAAGAAACATACACAGAAACTTGTTTATCCTCTACATTTTTCCTAATTAGTGCTTCTTGGTCTTAATGTGACATGATGTTAATAATCATGTATTTCCCATGTTGTGTGTGTAGTTGAACCTTGAACATGGGGATTAAGGGCGCTGACTCTCACACAGCCTGAAATATATGCATAACTTCTGACTCTCCAAAAACTTAACTGCAGTCATCCCTCAGTATCCACGAGGAACCTGAGTGGATACCAAACTGCAGATGCTCAAGTCCCTTATATAAAAATGGTATAGATCAACACATACAGTTGGCCCACCACATCTGAAGATTCTCAATGGTGGACAGAAAATATTATTTCCATTAACAGTTGGTTGAACTCTAGGATGGAAATCTGGGAATACAAAGGGCTCAGTGTATGTTTATTGAAAAAAATCCACATTTAAGTAGACTCCCACAGTTCAAACCCATATTGTTCAAGGGGCAACGGTATATTAGAGAGCTACAGTAAATTACTACAAGAGCCGTAATTAAAAAAAAAAAAAATGTCCATTTTAATTTATTGGCTCTCCTTCTTTTTTCAAGTCATGTCATTTGTCCTGTGGAATTTTCCAGTGTGGATTTTGCTAATTGCACCTTGTGATTTAACGTTTTCCTCTGTATCTTAAATTTCTTATAAACTAGTAGTCAGATCTAGAAGCTTGAGGAGAGTCAAGTTCAATAATCTGAACTTCACGGATGGCATTCTGTACTTCTTTTCTATCACCTCAGGAGGCACAGAATGTCTAGTTGTCTCTATTTTTGTAATGTTAAGAACTGATCAGCAGGTTCAGGTGTAGTCTGATGGATCCATGCATTACATTACTCCTCATCAGCATTTCACTTAATAGTTCTAGCAGCCATTGAGGAGGCCTAGCTTGATTATTTCATTAGCTGTTGCAAAATGCTAATGTCCTATTTCTATCATACTGTCTGTATTTTTAAGTGGGAATTATTCTGTAAGAAAATCTTCCCCACAACTATTTAGTTACCCTAAGGTGTAATCTGTGTAAGGCAGG